CTTTAACCTTTCCTGGTAAGTTTTATCCCGCAATACATGAACCAGTTTAGTAGCCCTTCTCTGAACTCTCTCTAAAGTATCAATATCCTTCTGAAGATACAGTCTCCAGTACTGCGTACAATACTCCAAAGGAGGTCTCACCAGTGTTCTGTACAATGTCATGAGCACTTCCCTCTTTCTACTGCTAATACCTCTCCCTATACAACCAAGCATTCTGCTAGCATTTCCTGCTGCTCTATTACATTGTCTGCCTATCTTTAAGTCATCAGAAATAATCACCCCTAAATCCCTTTCCTCAGATGTTGAGGTTTGGACTCTATCAAATATTCTGTACTCTGCCCTTGGGTTTTTACATCCAAGATGCATTATCTTGCACTTATCCACATTAAATGTCAGTTGCCACAACTCTGACCATTTTCTATTTTACCTAAATCATTTGCCATTTGGCTTATCCCTCCTGGAACATCAACCCTGTTACATATCTTAGTATCATCAGCAAAAAGACATACCTTACCATCAAGTCACTAATAAAAATATTAAAGAGAATGGGTCCAAGTACAGATCCCTGAGGTATCCCACTGGTGACAAGCCCAAGCTTTGAATATATTCCATTAACTACAACCCTCTCTTGCCTGTCACTCAGCAACTGCCTTACCCATTCAACAATATTGGAATGCAAACGTAAAGATTGCAGTTTATTGATAAGCCTTCTATGTGCAATAGTGTCAAAAGCCTTACTGAAATCTAGGTAAGCAATGTCTACTGCACCACCCTGATCTATTATTTTAGTTACCCAATCAAAAAAAATCAAAAAGTTTAGTTTGGCATGATCTCCCTGAAGTAAACCCATGTTGTCTCTGATCTTGAAATCCATGTTATTTTAGATGTTCAACAATCCTATCCTTTAACATGGTTTCCATTACTTTCCCCACTACTGAAGTAAGGCTTACTGGCCTATAGTTGCCCAACTCCTCCCTACTACCTTTCTTATGAATGGGCACAACATTCGCTAACTTCCAATCTTCTGGGACTACTCCTGTTAACAATGATTGGTTAAATAAATCTGTTAATGGTTTTGGTGTATTCCATCCGGTCCCATTGACTTATTTGTCTTTACTTTTGACAGTTGAAATAAAACCTCTTCCTCTGTAAACTCACATGTAATAAATGACTCATTTGTCATTTTTCCTAACTGAGGTCCCTTTCCTTCATTTTCATCTGTAAATACTGAACACAAGTATTCATTGAGGCAGTCAGCCAGACCTTTATCCTCTTCTACATACCTTCCTTCTTTTGTTTTTAATCTAACTAATCCTTGTTTTACTTTCCTTTTCTCAATTATGTATCTAAAAATTGTTTTGTCCCCTTTTTTTTACTGACTGTGCTATTTTCTCTTCTGTGTGTGATTTGAAAGCTCTTTATAACTTGCTTAGCCTCTTTCTGCCTTCTCTTATAGAGCATTCTGTCTTCATCACTCTGTTTTTTTTTTTTTATAATTACTAAATGCTAACTTTTAATTTTTTACTCTTTTGGCCACATCTGCGGAGTACCATAGTGGTTTCTTGAATTTTTCGCTTTTACTGACAAGCTTAATGCAATTTTCTGTTGATATCAGCAGTGCAACTTTTAAATAATCCTATTTCTCTTGGACTCCATTTACATTGCTCCAATTTGATAATGACTCCTTTACACTAATTTTAGAAAAGTCTGTTTTTTTAAAGTCTAAAACTTTTGTTTTTGTGTGGTGTGACTCAGTCACTGTTCTTATATTAGTGACTAATGATCACTGGATCCTAAACTTTCACCTACAGTAATATCTGATACCAAATCTCTATTTGTTAACACTAAATCTAGTATGGCCTCCTTACGAGTTGGCTCCTCAATGACTTGTTTTAGAGACAATCCCAGTAGGGAGTTTAGAATATGTGTGCTCCTGGCACAAGTAGCTAATTTTGTTTTCCAATTCACATCAGGAAGATTAAAGTCACCCATGATGATAACTTCCCCCTTCAGCACAAAATGGAAGAATATGTATGTGTATAAATGTAGGCTGATACATTTGTTGAAATAAACTAGCAAAAATATAGAAATAAATAAATAAAAATAAAAATTAGTACTAGTGGACCACTGTGTACAAGTCCAAAAAGTTAACCCCTAAGATCTTGGAAAGATAATGAAAAATAAATAAGAAAATTGTTGCTTTATATAGAAATGGCTCATTTGAAGATATAGCTTAATGATGAAAATATAAAATATATTTGACAAAATACTACACTAATCTGGCATAACAGGCTAATGAAGTATTTGTGGGTGCACAGTCCTAAAGGTGTACAGACTAATTAATCTGTCAAAAAAGTCTCAAGTGAGAAGAGATTATCTCAACAGGTAGGAATCATATGTTTTAAAGTACAACCTGTACAAGTGTCTTAGAAAAAGTGAGAAATATCTAAAGGCTGTTATGATGTAGAGATCAGAACAGCTGGGTATAGATATAAACCTCAAAAGAGTTTTTACTTTACCAAATAAAAAGATGAAATAAAACAAGTTAGAAAAATTATTATTATTATTAGAAAAAGTGGCATAAATGTCTCCATATATACACTTAGGGGGAAGGAATATTTACAAATATACACAGTAAAGCCAGAATGTTATAAAAAAAAAAGGAGAAAATGAGAATCCTTCATTGAGACCTTTTGGGCTCAATGTTTTAAGTTGGTGAATCCAAACGCATTCTCTTTGTCTAAGGAACTTATCCTAATCACCTCGCCTTGTGTTCTTCTTAACCAGTTCAAGGCCGCAAAAGCGTAAGCCCTTGGAGTTGCTCTCATGATATTTGAGAATATGTCTTGAGATGGGATTATCAGTCAAATATTTAGGTGATCTGATGTGCTCTTGGATACGTTTTTTAACCCCTTAAGGACTGGACTGTTTTTGCGATGTTGTACATTTGCGACCAGGCATATTTTTACACTTTTGTGGTGTTTGTGTTTGGCTGTAATTTTCCGCTTTCT